TAAAGCATTATAAATGAACAAAAATGATAGCTTATAGAAATTTCACATTTGAATATTTCCTGTAGCAAAACTATAAATAGGGTCATTTACAGCGATCTCTGATTCATTGATCAGGATTTAAAGCTGAGCTAACAGGCTAGCATGGCCGTCAGGGTTAATGGCTCCATAATAGGACAGCAAACACCAGGAAACGTCTCTGAGCAGAATAAAGCTCAAAACTAAGAATCCTCCATTTCCCATGATTCATTGCCTGAGCTGCTATGGCAATGCTCCACGACGGTGGCAACAATCCTGATTAAAAAATTGGATACAAAGTTTTCTATACACTGAAATAAACTTTGAAGATGTTTTTAGCTCCATCGATTCCTAAAATCTTAGTTTTTTTCCTCTCTAATAAAGACTCTAGGGCTCCGTAGGCCGTCTGCAGCCTGTAGTTGGTTTTTCACAAAAAGTTAAATAAAACAAATAAAACAATTCACTGGACTTCCAAGTTTGAAAATGTTTCGCTTCCCATCCAGGAAGCTTTTTCAATTCAAAACTTCAGGAATGGCGTTGAGTTTGAGGCTTTATAGAGCGGACCAAAACAAAGCCTTGTTTACAGAAACACTGAATATTATCAGCGTTCTGATGGCGTTTTAGTAAAAGCATTTTTATCAAAAACATAATAATGAGCATGACTAAGGAATAATTGTATTAACCAGACATGGAAACAGAGTTTATGGGGCCCCCAAGGAACTTGGGGCCCTATAGAACTACCTAGTATTGCCTAATGTTAATATGGATCTCACAGCGGAGAAATTCACTGGTCACTTATTGGCATTGTAATTAAAGAAGGTGCAAACGAGAAGGAAAAGGTGCATTAAGAATAAACAATATATATATACAGTATATCAATATAATTGAAGCTGTTTGGGAGTTTTCTGCTATTTTCTCTGATTGTTGTTGTTGCAGGAAGCTTTAGCTGCTCTTAACGAGGAGAGGACCCAGAGAGAGGAGATGCTGGCTGCTCTGGAGTACCAGACTTTGGGAAAAGAGGAGGCCTTGGCCTGTTTACAGGAGGAGAGGAAAGCAAGAGAGGAGGCCGTCATTGCTCTGGAGGAGCTGAGGAGGAAGAGAGACGAGCTGCTGGCGTCGCTTGAAGAGGAGCGACAAGAGAGAGAAAAGACCTCAGCTGCTCTGGAAGCAGAGAGGAGAAACTTTAAGGAGGCCAGCAGGCCGGATCAGGACAACCAGCAGAAGATGCTGCAGCAGGAAGTCGGATCGCTGACCGACAAACGCCAGGATCAGACGGAGAGCCGCCTGAAAGCTGCTGCAGCAGAGCTGGAAGAAAAATCCAGTCAGATCCAGATCCTGACACAAGAGGTTCAGAGACTGCAGGAGCTGCTGCAGAACTCAGCTGGTTCTGCTGAACAGAACCAGAACCAGCTGATGGAGGAAATCTCTGAGCTCAGGAAGAGTCTGGCTGAGGAGAAGAAGAAAAACGAGACCAAGCAGAAACTAATCCAGGAACTGGAGGCGGCAGAATGCAGACAGCAGGACTCTGACCAGCAGAGGGAGCTGTTGGCCAACAAAATGAAGGAGACACAAGCTGCTTTGGAGCAGAAGGTCCAAGATCTCAGAGTCCAGCTGGACTCCCAGCGGGAAACCTCCCATCAGGAAGCAGATCAGCTGAGAGAGAAGATCCAGGAGCAGGAAGAGACGCTGAAGGAGCTCAGAGCTCAGCTGGAATCCCAACATGAGAGCAGCAAGCAGGAGGCGGAGCGGCTGAGAGAGAAGATCCAGGAGCAGGAAGAGACGCTGAAGGAGCTCAGAGCTCAGCTGGAATCCCAACATCAGAGCAGCAAGCAGGAGGCGGAGCGGCTGAGAGCGGCGCTTCAGGAGCAGACGCAGGCCTCGGAGCAGCAGGTGCTGCAGCTCAACGAGAAGCTGCAGGAGCAGAAGGTCTCATTGGTGGAAGAGCTAGAGCAGAAACTGAGGGAAGAAAGAGCTGCATCCATTGAACGACAGGAGGAACTGAAGCAGAAGCTTAGAGAGGAGCAGGAAGCTGCTGAGAAACTCAGGAAGGACTTAAAAGAAGCTCAGCTCCACAGCGCCACCATCTCATCCAGCGCTGGACACCTCCACAGAGCAAACTCTGACCTCCAGAGGGAAATTACATCACTGAAAGAAGAGCTGGTGGCAACCAGAGAGGAGTCCTCTGAGTGCAAGATGATGAAGGAGAAGGACCAACAGATGCAGGAGAAGCTGGCTCAGATGGAGAAAACATCTGCTCAGAGGGAAGCAGAGCTCCAGGAGAAGCTGCAGGAAGCAGAGCAGCAGGTCAGAGCTCTGCAGAAGAGCCTGCAGGAGGCAAAGGAGCGGCGTGAAGAGGAGGAGTGTCAGGCTGCTCAGGAGGTCCGGAGAAAAGAGACGGAGAGGCGGCGTGAGCTGCTGGCTGTGGCTCATGAAGCCGTGGCTCAGAAGGACGCAGAGCTGGAGAAGAAGGCTGAGGAGATCAGCAGGTAGAGTCAGGTTCCTCTTTCTGCAAACATACCTGGTCTTTAAAAAGTATGTCCAGTCACCTGGTTGTGTCGTCCTCCCAGACTAAAGGAGAACGCTCAGCAGGAAGCAGAGAAGGTGAAGAACCTCAGCCTGGAGCTTCAGAGGAAAGAAGACGAGCTCTCAGGGCAGCAGGAGAAGCTGGCCGACTACAAGAAGCAGATCCAACAGGTCCAGAAGGAGGTCTGTATTAATGCACCCGCTGCTCTAATCCATCCAGAGGGATTTTCAACCTGGAAAATATCCCTAATCCCAACAACACCTGGAATGGGATTAGGTTATTATGGGTAACAGGATCAAACAATGCAGGGTTCTCAATGGAAGCCTGTGACATCCCTAAGGGGATATATTCACATCCCGCCTCAGGCTGCAGCAAAAATAGACAAGATTCAAGAATGAATGATTTTCCTTCAAAAGAAAACTAGAGGGCAAAGAAAGCTGGAGCACAAAAGGAAAGATTTTAGTTAAAAAGAACCCCTACTGGCCCACCATTACTATTGGAAGTTTAAGACACGCCTCCCGCCTCACTGCTCAGCCATAAATGATCAATATTTGAATCAACAACTTAAAGTGGGAGAGGGATGGTGTAGATCCAAGACTTGAAAAAGTAGCATATTTTTATTTCAATTCTATTCAGTGTATTTCTATAGTGCCAATTCACAACACATGTCATCTCAAGGCACTTTAATTGGATCAATTGGATCTAGAAGAGGATTGGCAAAGGAAAAAGGAACAAATAAACTTTAACTTTAATAGTCAAGCTCATGGCAAACATATTTGGTTTATTATTACGTGTGTATTCAATTAAATTCTATTCAGTTTATTTCTATAGCTCCAATTCACATCATGT